GAGTGAGTTCCGGGGCGCCTGGGTGACTCAGTCGGTTAAGCGTCCGGCTTCAGCTCAGGTCATGATCTCATGGTTCGTGAGTTCAAGCCCCGCATCGGGCTCTCTGCTGTCAGCACAGAGCCCACTTCGGATCCTCTGTCCCCCTCTCTCTCTGCCCCTTCTCTGCTCACACGCATGCTCTCTCTCTCTCAAAAATAATAACTTAAAAAATTAAAAAAACAAAAAAGATGAGTTCCTGGATGCTGAGGCAAATGAAAAGCTAACGCAGACCCAGGGCGCTGATGTGGGACGACCTTGGTCATCTGTGCCTGCTCCGTGGCCTCTGGACTCTGGACTCTCGGCTTCTCTCCTCTTGTTCTAGATGCTTCTCTTGCACCCAGTGGTGTGCGGGAGGCCCCTCAGCCTAGCTCGTGAGAGCCCGTCATTAAGTTTTCAGGACTCTTGCCAGCTGGTTGTTGAACAAAGCCATTTAGAGAAATTAAATTATTTAAGCTCACACTTCAATAAATTCTATTAACAACAAAAGTAATACATGCTAAAAACCCATCACTTCCTTATCTCGCTACCTCTTGCTCTGCCCTGGAGGTTCCTTGCGTATCTTACAAGAGACAAGGGGACATCCTCCCTCCCCACCCCTCCGATGCTGCCTGCAGGATGTCACGTGGTCACACAAAACTGCCCACGTGGGGGGTGTCTTGGCACGGGGGGGGGGGGGGGGGGGGGGTTGAGGGATCGCTGCCAGTGGGGGCTTGACTTACCGCTTCCTTGGTGTCCCAGGCTTAAGGGCGTGATGGATACAATGTTAGCAATGCACGTTGCGAGCGCGTCTGTCGCGTCTGTGGCTGACACGTGAGTGGCACGACAAATTCAGGGAATGTTCTTCCCGTATTCGAAGGCTGTTACCCCACACAACAAACACGATCTGACCCGCATTTTCATTGCTTTGCCCTCGTAAACAAAAATTTCAGCCCGTGTTTCATGTCGAAACTACACTCGTTCGTTCTCCAGGGCTGTGGCGGGGGGGGGGGCTCCTCTGTCGCCGGGCGTTTATTCCTAGTGTGATCTCGTCAAGTCGTGGCTGCAGGGCAGTGATCTTTGGCTTTGGATACAAGAATTTGGCAAACCACCTGCAAAACCCTTGGGTGGGAATTAATTGGCGGGGTATGGAGTTTGTAATAAAGAATATTTACAACCGGGTGTGATTATTTGTGACTTCTGTGCAACGAACACATCCTTTAGCCCAGTTAAAATGTGCACCCGCACGCATCTGTTGTCCTGGAGGGCCGTTCAGATCCAAATCTCTCTTCAAGCCTCTCTCAATTCCCCTTTCCTATCAGCATAGAGAATGCTTTTCCAGTCGTAGACCGGACTCCCTGCTTTTTGGTCAGGGTCATAAACTCAGTGGAGGGACAGGGACTGTAAATGAGCAGAACCGGTTGTGGTGAGTTTTAGTAGGGAGGAGTGTTGTCCTCGGAACCAGGCAAACACAGGCTGTCTCCAAAGGGGACGTCTGACATCCGGTTCCAGCTGGTGGCTGCTGTGGAGGACTGTGGGCCTGTCGTGGCCCGACCATCTGGCTTTTCAAGAAAATCCAGCAACTCAGACTTGGGTGCCAAATTTCCCGATTTGTTAATAGTGACAATCGATGCTTAAGTGAAAAATAGGGTTTAAGCTGGACAAAACATGCCTGTGGCTAACTCACGGCCTTCTGTGCGTGCCTCGGCTCTCGAGGCCTTTCCCTCTGAGGCCCCCCTTGCGTCTGGATTCTTGGGGCTCCCAGCATAATCTCTGTAAAGGGTCACGGCTTTTGGAAGTCAATGCCAAGCAAATCGAGTAGCCAAAGCAGCATGACTTGAGTAAGTTGGAGGGAGTGTTATTGAACGTGGAGGAAAGCGTCACGGAGGGAAGAATGGTTCGTATCCCAGACATGTTGTACGGGCACAATTAGGTGTGTAACTTGGGTAATTGTTCATCTGTGTAATGGGGAAGATACTACCTACTATTTAGAGATGATATACGTCAGTTCAGAGCTGGGCCCGTGGTAGGTGCTCAGAAATGGTCGAGTCCCAGCAGCCCCCAGGAGCGTCTGGCCCTGGGTGAGGAGGCTAGAGAGGGCGAGAACCAGGTGGCCGTTCGTAATGGCGGGGAGGACACCAAAGAAATCGAAGAATGTGCGGTACCTACTAGGCGATCAGGGGTCTTTAGCACCAACTAGAAAAGATGCAGGGACTGGTCAAAGATGTTCAGGGCAGGGAGGGAGAAATTCTCCTCTTTCTCCCAGATAATCTCAGAATAGCTTCAGGGAAGCATTTCCCAAACCCCAGTCTCAGGCACAGCCTTTTCATATGTGGGCCCATCACGAAGTACCTCCCTGTTGTTTGCCAGATGGCATTACGTAGATTACTCACCTAATACTTTTTTTTTTTTAAAGTGATTTGCTTTTCAGCTTAAATGTATTTTAAAAAGAAACTATACTGGGGTACCTGAGTGGCTCAGTCAGTTAAGCATCCGACTTCAGCTCAGGTCACGATCTCGCAGTTTGTGAGTTCGAGCCCTGCGTCGGGCTCTGGGCTGACGGCTCAGAGCCTGGAGCCTGCTTCAGACTCTGTGTCTCCCTCTCTGTCTGCCCCTCCCCTGCTCATGCTCTGCCCCCCCCTCTCAAAAATAAATAAAACATTAAAAAACAATAAAAAAATAAAAAGAAACTATATTAATTTATTTCTCCAATCAAATGCAAATTTACTGAATTCTACCGTGTGCCCTGCGCTGTTCCAGACCCTGGGGCACAGTAGTGAAGGGAAGGAAAGACGGGGAGGAAGGAAAAGTAGATGGATGGCTGGATGGCTGGATGGAGAGACAGGTGTGTGTCAGGTAGTGAGGAGTGCTGAGATAAGGGGTGATGGGGGTGCTCGCATGCAGCTTTAGCTGGGAGAATCAGAGACAGCCTCTTTGCGGTGGTGGCATCCGAGCAGGGACTTGCGTAAAGGACTAGAGTGAGCCATGGAAAGATCTGGAGGGGGGAAAGCATCCCAGGCAGATGGGCCAGCATGTGCAAAGGCCCTGAGGTAAGTCTGAGCTTCCCATGTTGGAGGGGCATCAAGGAGGACGCCGCATATTTACGTGGCGTTTGTGAGCCTAAGAGCGTTGCACATGCCACGGGTGATACCACAGGTAGGTGCCGACGGTCAGGGACCCGTAACATCAGGACAGAGACAGGTGGCCTTTGTTGTTCCTACCTCATGCTGTCCTGGAGAGCAGCGTTCTCAGTGTCACTGTGGACCCGGTTTAGAGCCAGGTCTCCGCGGTCCTCTGAGGAAGGAGTGCCACGGGTTCCTCCGGTTAGAGGAGAAGGCTGTGTAGACGCCGCCATTATCTCCCTGCTGCTCTCGAAGGGCTGGCCATCCAGAGGGAGAGGTGAGGAGGAAGAGAAGAGACAAGATGCGCAACCAAACATTTGCCGCACCTGAGATCGTCACACCAGGGTTGAGGGGTGGAGAACTTCCATGCCTGTCTTGCGGGTCAGGGAGCTGAGGCTTAGGAGGCAGATGGCTGAGTCTCTCCTCCCTAGGCTCCTGCCGGCCTCCCCGTGACCCCACATCCGCTTGGATGACCCCTCGCCAGGCAGGCCTCCTGGCTGTTGGTCTCTGTGGTCCCATGTCGACCTCTTCTATCAAAAACACATTCAACAATAAACGTGCTTTATTATATTTTTTAGTTTATTTAAAGAGAGAGAGAGAGAGAGAATGAATGGGGGAAGGGCAGAGAGAGAGAATCCAAAGCAGGCTTTGCTCAGAGCAGAGCCTGGCGCAGGGCTCAGTCTCGCAACCTCGAGATCGCGACCTGAGCTGATTTCAGGAGTCGAACACTTAACCGACTGATCTACCCAGGCGCCCCAACAGTACGCA